TGTGAATTTACAAATTTGTAAATTAAAAAACGTCATATCTAATTATGTTGTTCATAAAAATATCATTGCAATTTTTTCTAATACTTTCAAATAAATGTTAATAATATATATACTAAATTTTATAAATGTTCAAATATATACTAAATTTTTCATTCCAATTTTCATTAATCTCTTAAAAACGTTTTAAATCGTTATATTCCTTCATTGATAAGGTACCACCACGTTCAATTCAATGAATAATTCTTGAAATCAATCCTGCAACACTGTTCATATTTTTTGATTTTCGCGGTGCAAAACCTGCTTAAATCGGTACGACAGGGTGTGACACGAAAATGGTAATGGGGCACAGAGTTGCCGAAGAAATACATGATCATGCAATGTCTATTCATATACCTCGTCTGTGGTCAATGCAATCAGTGATATTTTTCCTGGTCGGTATTTTAGACCTTGAAACACAAAGTCTCATTTAATCCGGTCTATGTTATTCTTAGTCATTGGTCCGGTCTATCCTATTCTCTAATCAATAATAATACACAATACTCCTAGAAATAACAATACAAATGAGATAAATATCATACTTTCAACTGAAAAATATTGATAAATATAAGAAGACATACATATGAAAATAAGTAGCGCGTAACTGTATTAAATTCAATCGCAATTTGTGTACGTCGTCACCATTTTAACATGACCATTGCATTGACCAGCAATTTTTAAACGTTTGTATACGAAAACATGAGTTAGTCAACTTATTATCAGTACAATACGTGAAATAGATTTGGATGTTATGTAAAATTACGTCTTTCCCAGCATTAGACGAAGGGTAGTTTTGAACAAATACAATGGAAACGTATTATAAATAGTGCTCATATCTCTAAAACTAATAATCAAATAGCAGAGCAATAAATAATACGTCAGTTTTATTTATGACAAAGTAAGTTTCAATGCTCCATTCCTTCATCCTTGAATAGAGTATTAAAAAATTATACTAAGTTCTATATAATTTTGTTTACGCTGTGTTCTTAAAAGAACTTTAAAAAACTTGGTCATAAGAAACTAATGCCATCTATCCTTCTTTTGTAAACTTTTATTTAAAAATTTTATATCAGAAAAGTAATAAAAAAAAATAAAGAGCTCATAATAACAATTGTATGTTAACTTATGGTCTATAACCTACAACTCACATAGAACTACAAATCAACTGTTTTTAATTGAATACTTCAATGACACAAAACTGGTCACATAGTGTCATGAAAAAATAACATAGTTTTGGGTTGTAAGTTGTAGTATAAATGCTACTGATCTTTTGTTAATAGTTTTACAGGAACTAATAAAAAACTACATACTCTGTTGTACGAATAACGAAAATTTAAATGTTCACATTGATTGACACCGCCATCTAGAAAGTATAACCGAATATACCGGAAGGTCACATATAAAAATACCATTTCATTCTTAAGTGAAGACTCGCAACTCGAATAAGATTAGTGCATATGTGATACGTCATGTACGTATGTATTTAATAAACTTATATTTATGATATGTCTACAGTCTGATGTCAGTTGCGCATATAAAACCATTGAAGTATAATTTGACGTAATTAAACTTTTGTATCTGTGTAATGATATGAAGTACTTTCTTTAATCGAATGTGATTACTCTGATTCGCGTTCATTGTTTTTTTTTAAAAAATAGAATTTGATCAGGTCTATTCAACTATTTTTATACACAACTGACAAAGGTACAGAATTCTTATTGTTTATATTCTTACTTTATATATATGTATATATTACAGTTTCCGAAATATTTATTTTATACTTCATACATTTATGAAATAATATAATATCAATTACGATTTAGAATTGAAGGAATTCAAATTCGTAAAGATAGATAGATGTAGAACTTGGGAAATAACATGTATCCATTATTTGTACAGTCAATTAAATGTCGGCTTTGTCATATTAATTCTTGCGTGCAATTAGTCATGTCATCACATTCTGTCAATGCATGTACATATATTGTTTTAAAAAATGTTATTTTTTTATAATTGTTATAATTAACTGTTTATTTACCAATATAGTAACAATACGTAAGTTACGTAAGTTTACTAGTTTCTTTGATATATGTGCTTATAAGTATGTATTGAGTGATACTCACCATCGATACGATGTAATATAGTAGGTAATATACTACATATTTGCTATGATAATTTAACATATCCATGTAATTATTTTTGCTATTCATACGTAAAAATATTTTATGCAAAGCTGGGTTAAAATTATATATAATATTTTATTAATATTTAATTAATAAGTAGAGTATATGTTAACAATAATAATATCAAACTATACTTAAAATATATAATAAAAAAATAAGAATTATAATGACACAAATATAAATTGCACTTTTATAATATAAATTATACTCTTATATTAAATTATACATGAATATGTATTTAAATAATATAGAGAAACAGCAGTGTTTTTAAACTGTATCAGAATTTATTTATTAATGTCTTCATAAAATTTAAAAACTATATTAAATAATTTATTAAATAATTTATAAAAGATTATATTTTTATGTGTGTACATATAATTTACTAATTATTGAGACTAAGAAAAATTTTAATCATTTTATATGTTACTTTTAATATTTTGAATATAAATATCTGAAAATTAGTGTAAAAATATCAAAATATTATTTTACATATTTTGTATTCGTTAATGAATCATGATTTTTATAAAGGTAATTAGTTATATATTCATATAATAAACTGGTTTATAAAATAATTTTGTGAGACACATCTGTTATGTAAAGTTTATGAGATATTAGTCCAAGGTTTTCTCTTATCAAATCTTGCATTCAACAAGGAGATAATTGTGTAAATAGAATGCAATCTATTTATAGAACACATAATTAAGTAAAAGTATTAAATACGTATATGTAATTTTTTTAGATATTTAAATACAAAATTATCAAAAATGTGAATTTAATTAATAGTAAAGGCAATTACACAATTATTATAAATAAAGGCATCAATTTTAATCAATCATTAAGCAGTCAATGTGACTAATTTTAATAGTTAATTCAATTATAATAGTGTATTATAATAAAATATAATTATAATATAGTTACAAAATAATGTCAAAAGAATCAATTAACTCAATTAAGTTTTTTTAATAACAATGATAAAAGTAGATCTTTTGTTTGCATTATTTACATTATTACTTTTATTTACATTTAACAATAAGCAATATTGTTTATTTTTCCATTCTTAATATTTGTATACAATTACATAATTTTTATGAAAGACTTTACTTTTTTTTTTTACAGAAGATTCTACAAAAGTTTTGCACAGTAAGATAATTTAATTAAAATCATTCATACTGTAAAAAAATGTGCACAAAAAATTTGTTCTATTAACTTTATAAAGCAATTTATAAGCAATTATTAAAGGAATATAAATGTCTATCTTGTCAAACTCAACAGAGCAAGTGTTACAAAGTGCGTCACCTCTTTCAATGGAGAAGCAAAATGTGGATATTACCGTAAGTAATAAAGTAGGTTTTTTTCAATTTTGTATAACTTGTACATGATTTTCTGTTAGATACAAAATTATTTAACATTTGATTTACTCTGTTACATTGACATTAATGAAAAATTATAAAATATAAAATTTGTGTATATTGTGCTCAAAGTTTCAACTAAAGTCAAATATATTTAATTAAATTCTAATTCAATTGTTTTATAAATTTGAATTTCATTACATATCTGATTTCAGTCAGTGGAAAATCTGATATTCAACTATATCATACACAACATTAAATTGTGTATTTCAGAAGAAACATGGAAAAAAAGTCGAGAGCGATGGTATATCAAATACACAAAAAGTATGGACAAGTTTGATATCAGGTGCTATTGCAGGAGCATTAGCAAAAACAACAATAGCACCTTTAGATCGCACGAAAATAAACTTCCAAATTTCAAATCAACCGTTCTCTGCAAATGCGGCAATTAAATTTTTAATAAAAACCCTTAAAACAGAAGGTTTATTAAGTTTATGGCGCGGGAACAGTGCAACTATGGTCAGAATAGTTCCATATTCTGCTGTTCAGTTCACAGCTCATGAGCAATGGAAAGGGATTCTGGGAGTAAATGGATTGGAAAAGTAAAATATAGCAAAATTATAATTATACAGTATTTAATGTTATATATACAGTATTTAATGTTATATTTCAAACATATAAGTATGCTTTCATGAACAAATTATATTAGATTAATATTTTAAACTGATCTCTAAATTTCTTGCAAATTTTACTACTGTTGTTAAATGTTAGATATATATTTACAATGGTATTGTAATCATTTACAAAAAAACTTTTATATTTTTGTAGAGAAAAACCTGGACTGAACTTTCTTGCTGGTTCATTAGCTGGTATAACATCACAAGGTATAACTTACCCCTTGGATTTGATGAGAGCAAGAATGGCTGTGACACAAAAGACTGAATATAAAACTCTGCGACAAACTTTTGTACGCATTTACGTAGAAGAAGGAATACTGGCCTATTACCGTGGATTTAATGCAACGATGCTTGGTGTCATTCCTTATGCTGGTTGCAGTTTCTTCACCTATGATCTACTCAGGAACTTATTGGCTGGTGAGTTATTTCTTTCAGATTTATTCTACGCCGTGACGGTGCTTACACGCAGAAAAAAAAATCGTGATTTATACGAACGAGAGTGGCTCGTGTATGATCGTAAAGCAGGGTACCCGTGGGGCACATCGGGGCTGTTTCCCGATGTTGGGACAGTACTTACTTTAATAGCAACGCTTGTCGAGACAAGTCCGATGGCGGTGTTTTTCAAGTACGTGCTTCATGTTCGATGATGGCTACGTGTCGATGAACAGTGTACACGGTGACTATTCCTGGCTTCTCGACATCATTGATATTCGGCGCCATTGCCGGAGCGGTTGGTCAGACTAGCAGTTACCCGTTGGATATCGTCCGGAGAAGAATGCAGACCTCAGCAATCCATGGCCCAATCAACAGCCAGCACTATCACACAATTAGTTCAACTATCACGAAAATATACAAGTGAGTTTAAAATCATACCGTTCATCTATTGTTTTATTTAAAGTTAAATAAAATATTAATAAAATTATTAATTAAATCAAATTTAATGTAAGTCTAATGTAATTTTATAAAGATTATAAAATATGAAACCATACATATATGAAATAATAAATTATCATATAAGTAATTGGATTTACGCTAAATAATAAAAATTATCATATAAATAATTGAATTTACGCTAAAATTTGATTGCACTACAAACAAGATTGTTTTATAATTTTGATGTGATCTTTTATCATTTTCAGAGAAGAAGGTATAATGGCTTTCTATAAAGGATTGAGCATGAATTGGGTAAAAGGCCCAATTGCGGTAGGAATTAGTTTTGCAACACATGATACAATCCGTGATACGTTAAGAAAACTCATAGTTTGTCAAAATCAGAAACATAAAAAAAACAATTAGAAAGATTAACAAAAATAGCCAATTATACATAACATAGAGCATGTTAGAAAAACAAGTAAATATATTTTTATCTGCTAAAAATTTTTAAAATAAAGATATGTGGTAGACTTGCGCTCAAACTTTACCATAGTTCTATTGTTGATAACAATTATGTAGTAGCAAAGTTTGTACAGAAATCTGTCAAATATCCTATGAATATATATAAAGTTTATGATTGAAGAGAATTAACATCATTAACATATTTCAGAAAACAAAAAATGCTAGTATAAATTGTTAATGTACATATTGTTAATTAAAGTATTATAAAAACTATTTAACTACTGCATGTTATATAGATATATATCAGAAATCTCAAAAAACTGAAAACATATATTGTGCAAATATTAACGTTTAATTTATTAGGAATGTGAGTATTTTGCATAATATAAATTATGTCAATGCAACTGCCTTAAGAAGTTTCTGTTTTTTAATCTATATTTTTTTTCACTTTCAATGATTATACAAATAACTTTAATTAACAAATAATACAACACACATCTACATTCTTTTACATTACAAATATTACAAATATGTATAATATCTCTAATTGTTAATCTAGTAAAGAAACAGTAATTGTTTTTTATTATTAACTACTACACTTGTATTGTATACTAACATTTTTTTAATAGCAACTGAGTTTTGACAATAACTTCATAAATATAATGTAAAATATAAATAAATAGCACAATTATTTATAAAGAAGCAAATTGTTACAAAAATTATTTGTACCTAATTTTCTTTATAATATGATTTGTAATTATTCTATAATTATATGGAATTCTATTATTAATAATATTCCAATTTATTTTGATACTATATATAACTTGAAGTATATTGTATATTATAAAAGATCATTGTTTAATTTTAACTTAATGTTTTTTTAAGTAGATTATTATTAGATTTTTTGTTATTTTTAAATAAATGTATTTATTTTATATTTTCGTAATATATAAATATCAATATACTACAATATATAATTTTTATTCAAATATAACAATATTGAATAAAACAATATTGAATAAAACAATATTTTGTTCAAATATTTAATAGATTATTATATAAATTATGTTCGTAGTACTAATCCTTCTGATATCATGGACAAGATATCGCCAACTCAGTTTTGCAATGCCACAAACGAAGTGGAATTATAGGAGTGATATTATGAAGTCGTCCACGATAGCAAAAGGATTGAATACACACTTATTTAAAAATAAAATAAAAAGCAAAAACATATTTTTCTAATTTTATAATAATTATTAAGAAAAAAATAATGAAAAATAATCATAATAGAACAAAATTCACAAATATTTACTGTTGAATAAATCTATTATTATTTCAAATAAAAGAAATAGACTCTACAAAAAATATTTTATTAAAATTGACTAGTCTAATAATTCCGAACACATACTATCTCGTTTATAAAAATTGTTTATAATTATCAATCAATTATTTAAGATATAAAAATGTAAAATAGAACACTGTTATTATATACAAATGGTTATTAATTTTTGTGAAAAGGCTTTATCATTTAGTTTGTACTGCTTTAATAAAGCAGGAGATAATTAAAAAAATTTTTAATCTATTTTTTTCTGTAAAAAACTTTGTACAGTAATACGATATTATTTTGGTTTCGTTTCTTGATCATTCACATATCTTATATAAATTTCTCTCTCATCATTTCCACCTGGTGGGATTTCAGCTTCGTTCAAATATGATACTCCTATAGCAAGTACAGAACCATCATGGCTAAAACTAAGTGCAGCAACACCAGCATTATATCTATGGAATTGGCATAAACGTTTTTTGTTAAAACCATCCCAAATATTCACATAACCATCTGAACCACCAGTTGCAAATGTATTATAAGTTGAATGAAAACTAATAGCATTCACTGGATATATATGTTCCACATTATTTTCTTTTATCCTATGGCATTTGAAAGCATATTTCTTTTTCTGTGCTTCTGGCGTTGTATCCAAATATTCAACAGCAACACGGCCCTCTATACTACTAAGAACATATCCCTAAAAGTTATTAAGATTCAAAAATAAATAAAATTTAACATTAATGTTAAATTAAATCAAAACATTTTATATAATTCTTTAATTTGTTTAATTTTTAAAATATCAAACCTACCTGTTCATTAGGAAAACCTTTAATACAACGCGTTTGATATTTCAAACTACTTTCTCGTCTTTGAAACATACCAGCCATATTTCTCAAATCCCAAATACAAACTTTGCGTTTAGCAGTACCTACTACAAACTTATCTCCACATACAGATAAAGCAAGAACAACATCAGGTTGTAAATAACTACCTACACAAGTGGGTGTTCTAGGATCCCACAACTTTACTGCTGCATCCCATCCACCAGTTAATATTGCATTTACTGCAGCACAATATTCAATTTTTCTGATTGGTTTATCATGTGTTCCCATAATTGATTCTATAAGACAATTTTTCTCATGATTTTTCTACATATAATGAACACGAATAAAAATAAAAATAGAAAAATGTTAATACCACTATTACTATTGATGTCATACATCTTTAATGTGTTTCCTAAACCACCACTATAAGCATGAACGGCATCCTATTAAAAAAAAATTTTTATTGTACAGATTTTAAAAATTAAAGTTTTTATAATAATTAGAAAAGTAAAAAGAAAATATATTCAATATTAAATATAATAATATATTGAAATGCATAAAGTTTTTCTTCCCTATTTCTATTTTCATTTTTCTTATATAAACATTTTCAATTTATGTTTGCTTTTATTCTAAATAATATATTTTATCTGATTTCATATTTTTATTTCAAACATTGTAATATACTCGTATATTTTACAATTTGACTATCTTATAATATATTTATACAAAATTGTAATTATAAAAGTTTATAAAACATCTAATGAGTTTGCAATTACCTGAAATGCAACATCTAAAACTGGCAAATCATGATTATATTTTAATCTCATAGTATTTGCATGAATATCATACAACCGCACTGTACTATCCCAAGAAGAAACAAGGAGAAACTGTGTTGAATTGGGTCCAAACTCCACTGCCGAAACCGCGTCAGTTGGAGGAGACTTTATTTTAAATTCTGTCCGAGATTCCATTCTTAAAAAAAAAAAAAGATAAATAATATACAAACACATATATCAAAAACTGTAAGATAAACATAACCTGCAAACAGTACTGCATTCACATACGTATACAATTATGTTATTGCTCTCTATAGTAGATACAGTAAATTTATTCCTATTGCCAATATAAATTTTTATATTGTTTTCTAATTAATCTATTAGTTAAAAATCAATTTAAATGAAATTTAAATATCAAGAAAAGGAGAGACGTTCACATCCATACATGACATAAAGGGAATGTATAAGAATACCAAACTTAATCATGAATAAAAATACACACATGACAAATTAAGATATGTAATTTTATTTGATTAATACACTACTCAAGAATGTATTACATGAAAGCAACAATATTATTTAATCTTCATATTTAAAATATACGTACATATTTTATATAAAACTAAACATTTGAATTTCAGGAAGTATTAAAAACTCCATGTTTTTGTTCAAACCATAGACAAGGTATATAAAAAGATCTAGCATACAATGTATTTTTTTGTCTCATTTTCATTTCTGTGTCACGTTCTATTGTACCGATTTAAGCAGATTTTGCACCACAGCACTACTAGTGATGAGAATTAAAATCAAAAAATATGAAGAGTGTTGCAGGATAGATTTCGAGAATTATTCATTGAATTGAACGTGGTGGTACTTTATCAATATAAGGAATATAACGATTTAAAACAGAGATTAATGAAAATTGGAATGAAAAATTTAGTATATATTACGTATATATTATACGTATATCTATATTTTTCATTAAATCTTCATGAAATATTAAAGATTTATATTAAATAAGTAATAAGTAAATAAATGATCAACAATTAAATAAATGATCGTTATTATCATAATATTGATAAGCAAGGTATTTTATAGAAAAATTTCGAATAATATTTTAATTAATACACGTAATTTTTAACTTACGTACTTTACTTAACGTAAAAAATTTAAT